TGTCATAATTGTTGACAATAATGGTTTCAATCTGGTGGTTTCACCTCAACATCAGAAAACGCCCTTGTAAAAATAACAATAAGATCTGAAGTTAGTTTTCCCTGTTCTCTAAACACTATGCCCTTCAGTACATAGTAACTAGACTCCTGGATTAGACTACAAACAATTCCTCAGCATGAAGAATGGTATTATGCACTACAGAACATAATGAAGGGTGTGCATGGGGCATGTTCTGCCTGAAATTATCACACGAGGTTAGAAACCCTGCAACCAAGAAATTGTAGGCCCGACAAGTTTCACACAGCCTGAATATATATTTCCTTCATTTATTCAACTATAAAACCAATGTAACGGTAACGCGATATAATTTTGCAATGCAGTAGCTACTCAGTTCCCAAAACACTGGTTCTGTCATGAAATAATTGTTTCCAAATTTGATATTCTTTTATAGAACTTATCTAACCACAACTTCTCCAACACTATTAATTTTATAGCAGTGGCACACATGGGTCTTGATTGCACAAACCACAAAAAAGAACGCTACGGTAAAAAATATTTCTCTCTTTATTCTTAGCCAATGATAACTAATAGCGCCCAAAAAAAATGCAAGAAATAATTAGCCTAACAAAAGGGAAGCATAAAGCCATAAACAACAGGTCACTTATTGCCTGAGCAAACAAAACGAAAAAAGGGTTTGGAAGTAGGCAAAATAATCAACCTTCCCTTGGAGGAGTTTGGGGGAGTCGAACTTCTCAGGCATGCCCACAGTGCCCACATCCTCTCGGTAAGACAGCTTCTCTGCATAGCCTAGCGACATCTCTCGGCTCTTCTTGAGGTTCTCCAAACCCGTTGCTGTCTTCCTGTTCGATCTAAAAGAAGCAAAATGACTGTTCATTGCAGTAATTATTCTGTGGACAACAGTATTTGATAGGGGAATTTGATCATATATCACTTTCTACTTTGGCACTTGATCATATACAACCTTGTACATTGTTTTAGTAAAGTACACAACCTCCGTTTCAGGAATATAAGATATTTTGGATATTTCAGTATCGACTAGATACAGGCTGAAATGAACGAATAAACATACTAAAACATGTCTATATACATCCGATTCGGAAAAAAGTTAGAACATCTTATACTTGTGAACAGAGGGAGTAGCACTTACCACTTGGCTAAAACCACATTTGCACGCTTAAGCAGTTTTTAAGCACAATGACTAACTAGTCACAAAAGTGAAAAGATCACCTTGCCCTTATGGCAATTCATCAAACTGGGCAACTTAGAGCAAGAAACATGACTCACCCCTCACCCTGCCCGAGCTGAGCAGGGCCCATCTCCTCCAACACGGCGACAGCCGCCCGCGTTCGCACCTCCCCTGCCACGGCCGCATTCCGCCTCGCCGCCATTGTGCCTCTCCTTACTCCGTCGCATTCCGCCCCACCGCCATCGCGCCTCTCCCACACGCAGTCAGGCACGTAGAGGTCAGTATCGTCGAGGTCTTCCACCTCCCCCTCATTCGCCTCCTCGACACGCGACTCGTCCCGACGTACCGAGCCCCCAAGCAGGCGCGCCACCTCCTTGGCACTGTCCAGCGGTCGGCAGCGAGAGTCCAAGGCCGCCTCATCCTCTTCCGCTGGACGACGGCCTCCGATTTGGACTTGGCCTCAGCGACCTCGCGCTCCTGCGCTCTCGCAGCGTCGATGTCAGCGAGCACGGCCCTTAGCGCGGCCTTGTCCTTGGCGAGCTTGCGGTCCCGCGCATCAAGGACGCGCGTGACCGCCTCACAGTCGGCCCTAAGGCAGGAGCTGGCGAGGTGGGACACGAGCTCCCTGCCAGAGAGGAGAGCAAGCTCGTCCTGGGAGACGGAGGCCATCCTGTCCTGCGGCCGGAAGGTGGTAGGTATGCGGCTGCCAGGAGCTGGGCGGAAAAAGGGCCTAACAAGTAGGGGATTGGGTCAAGCAATCGTTCCCCCAAAAATTTCATCTTTGCACAGGCGAGCTGGTCCATTCCCCCCACCGGCAAGTTCCTGGCACTACATCAACGCCGCCTGCATAATTCCCCCCTAATGTCGAAAACCTAACACAGTCCATCGATTTCTGCTTGGCAGGAGCGGGGAAAAGGAACACGACGAGCAAAAATGCTTTGGAATCAAGCGTCCGCGGAGCGTGCTTACCGACGAGATAGGCGAATCAAGTGCAGATCTCCAGTCCAGTCTGCCCCGGCAGCGG